TGTGTGTGTGTGTGTATGTATGTATGTATGTGTATATATATATATATATATATCTATATAGATATATATCTATATATATATCTATATAGATATATATATATATATATATACACATACATACATACATACACACACACACACACTTGAAATGCAGGTAACCCTTTATAATTTATTTATTCAGGAAAATCTCCAATCATTGTTAGAAATCAGCTAGAACCATCTGCTATGATAAACTCTTAAAACTGTTTCAAATTTTGACAGCTCTTCAGCTCACAGGACACGTTACAATCTGTCAGTACTATCTCCTTAGGATCTACCAACAACTATTTAGTACAAAAGGCCTGTCTGATTTTATACAAATTAAATGGAAAATATAAGTAGGTCCTCATATTGGTGAATCTAAAGAAGACCCTATTATTGTGCAGTCACATGGGGTGCATGTTCTTTTTACTTAAGTGAGTCACTAGCTAGTGAAGTCAGATAAGAATGAAAGCCCCAGAGCTTGTAACTATAAAAAACAAATCAGCAATGACAGCTTCCATATACCTGTCTTTTCTAATTCTCACAAGGAACCTGTCACCAGGCTATGGAAATACAAGCATTTACATACTCTTCACTAGCAATAAATAAGCTTTAAAATGACCCTGTCTCCAGACAAAATAAAAATTGTAAAAGCACAGTGCCTATAAATACATTTTGATCTGGCATAACTGATAGTCTACTATAAAGTATGTTTTTTTTCAGAATCTATACTGATAACGATTATGGGCCACCTTTCAGGCAGATAACTGATATCAGGTATCAATATGCTGTTTACATCTAGCTGCGGAATCTTGGCAGATGAACACATCGTGTGAACAAGCCCGTGTTGTATCAATTGATAAAGTATGCTGTATTATTCACTTATACAATAACAGTAAGAAGTATGGAAAGGTAGCTCAGACTAGTTTCGTATGCTATGCAGCGTGATCTGGACTGCAAACACATGTAATACACATCTGATATATGACGCTAAAGCACCAGCACATGGACAGGGAACTTATCCAAATTTCACTCTATCATTATATGTCTATGACTAACACCAAGAGTTTGGGCTGAAACACCTAAGCTTTTTTGCTGGTTTTTATGCTGAATTAAAATAAAGTGATATTTGGAGAAGATCCTTGTCCATGTGCCGGTGTTTTAGCAGCTTGGACTGAGAAGTTGGAGCAGGAACCTTTGCTGTGCACTGGGGTTCCCACAGGCATGCATATAGGATGGGACGAGGTTTCATCTGGTTCGAAAAACACATCGGATTTACTATTTTGTGCAGTTTACATTTGGACAACACTGTGTATTAGCTTAAAAAGACATGTCTGCAAAATGTCAATCATTGTCGCAGTGGATATTACTGCAGTAATGTGCTGGGACCACCTGAGTCCTCCAGTGCAGAGCAGGGTGAAAATGACCAAGCATGGTCATGTGACCTCTTTTTTTCTCTCCAGGTAAAAAAAAAAACCCACAGATATCTGTTAAAATAAAGAGCAGGAAGCTGTACAGCAGACAGAAAGGAAGTTAAAAAAAAAAAGAATATTATAAAGTAAAACACATACTTTAAAACAGAATATATCCTTGTATGATGAAAAACGGATACCCTGGAAGTTAAAGTTTCCTCTAGGCCAGGAATGTCACCATGCCAACCAATAACTTACCTTGAAATTGGGTCCAACCTCCCCACTAATAGGAAGTATGTACTGTATGATCTTCTACCAATGCTTTCTTTTATCCTCTTATATAATGTAAATGGTCCTCACTATACTTTTGATTACTTAAAATTTTGAACATAATGACATTCAGGCCATTTGTATAAAAACATTTTATTACTGACAACAACTGATTATTGTATACATTGACTCAATGATTGGCAACATTTCATTGTTCCGAATTCTAGAATATAACAAATATAAAACCATTTCACATCAATAAATATAATGTTAGAAAATGCTGAGAGATTTTTCTAAATTCAGTTTTCAAAATAGAATGGAACACTTGATTACTTGTTATTTGCAATGAGTCATCTGCAAATGCCTCTTTTAGTTCCTAACTGTGAACACTTTCTTCATCATCATATGTTTATTTTTTTGCAAAAGCAACCAGAATATTTTGGATTGTTCGAAATACATATTAATACATCACAACATGAGAAGGCAAAACCATACCTGTTGTCTGTTTTTGGGCATATATGGTAGCATTGTAGAGACATGAAACATGAGTTCATAATCCTTGTAAGTTGTATAAAGGGAATGTGTTCCTGTAGAGTCAGCTAAAGAGAAGAAAGTCATTACATCAGAGTTTACATTTATATAATAAAAAACGTCCAATACATTTCTGAACTAGCGTACGAAAATATTTTTTATACCTTTCTTTTTTAATTTAAAGCTTAACTCCAAGCAAATAGATTATATGGAATGCAAACTATGGAGGCATTTTACCTGCTAAGTGAATTGCGATGCTATCAATCTATTTCTGAGATTTACAAAGCTTGGCCACACAGCACAACCCTGCCTGCAAAGGCTCCAGGAGACCTGATATTTTCTGCTACATTTTAAAGGATGCCGTATGACAGTCTAAGAAAGACCCAAATCCAGTTGCTGTGAAGGCATGTACAAACGTCACTAGGCAAAAATAAAACTTCCCGGACTGAGTCAAATCCTCCTTTATTTGTGTGTCAAACACCCCCCTCCCAGACACTGCAGCTCACACTTGCAGGATTTCAGCAACAGAGGTAGTGTTGTAAATCCAGAAATCAGTGGACAGATCTAGGTGTGGCCAGATGGTGATTGACAAGCTACAGGCACAATGTTAGGCTACAGTGGCCAATAGCCACACATGCCCTGCAAAATGTTCTCATACCATTGTAATGTAAGCAGGAACAGCTCACATGAGAGTGGCAACTTTGCTCCAAATTCAGGAGCAGTGCAATATTGTTGCAACACCATCACGGGAAGTTGATTAGGTGGACTTTAACCAGTTGACATCCGCGGTGTTAAACCCCCTTCCCATCCAGGCCATTTTTCAGTATTCAGCGCTGCGGTACTTTGACTGACATTTATTCCGTCATGCAGCGCTGTACTGAAATGAATTTTATACCCTTTTTTGGGGACAGATAGAGCTTTCTTTTGGTGGTATTTATTCACCACTGTGCAGGCAACCCGCAGATGTAGCAGTGCCGTCCGTCCGTTTTTTTACTACGGCCGGACGGCAAGAGGTTAATGGCAGCATCAACAAGTATCTGTGGGACTTTACAGGGGGACCAAGAGAAAGTTGTAATTATAGATGCACTTATAATGAAGTTCTGCAGCACATTTTTTTAATGGAAGAAGGCCATAGTTCTACTTTAAATAACACAGTTCTTGTCTCTCACCAAGCCTGTGACTAGACAGTGACATGAGAAGCCACATCTGATTAGATCCTTTCTCTGTCACTCTGAAAGAGCATGTTCATTGTTAGCACATGAGCAGTGCAGCACACCTGATTGGCTTTTTGTGCTGCTTCTCCCTCTCCCACTCTGAGCTCTAATGTAGACTGAATTGCAAGGCTAATAACAGGTTACTTTCAGGTACTTACATTGCTTGCATAAAAAAAATATGATTTATTAATAAATAGAGCTGGATTCAGTTGCATCTTTTATATCTGCCTGGAGTTCAGGGCCACTATTATGGTTTAGGTCAAATTTTTTTTTTTTTTTTTTTTTTACATGTTATAGCCCAATGCTTTATATGGCTTTGATAATTCTTTAATGAAAACTTTATTTTGTTCTAGCACTGCCTGCATCTAGCACAGAACAGTCTGTCCCTCATCCGACTCATTTAGTTGTGTGCATAGCTATTCAAGTCGCTTTTGAAGTAAATCAGCCTGTAGGAACACTATTGGTTTGCCTCAGGTTTTCACCTATTGGCTGTAAGTGGGGAGTATGAACTGTTCATATGCAATATTTTATTGTTACCAGACTAAAAAGAAACAAAACCATTTTCTTAATTCTGTTTTCTTAGGCCTGAATACAATAGGTAAAAGGTAGATACATGAAATATACAATACTTTTAAGTCTAGGCAAACCAGGCAAACAGATACATACAATGATGACATACAAATATGAGAGCTATTTTACTTTTCCCAGTATTTGTATCCTGTTGATCCAGTAATTTAAAGTAGTGTTAAATTCTTAAACCTATCAAACAAAAATGCACTGCCCAGCAGTATTTCTTTACATTTTTGCTCAAATACTTACAGTCATCATGTTCCCAAACAGCCAGCTCCAACTCTCTCAGCTCAGCTTCCCTGAATTTCCTGCTCAGTACAAAATCACAAGGGACAGAGCAGTCTCCAGCAGCTGCCTATCTAATAGCTTGGAGAAGAGAGAATGGAGGAGGGAGGGAGGATGAGCAGGGGAGTATCTTGCTGCGCCTGTGTGTTTGTGGAGACACACACACACAACTTATTAGCGCACAGAAGGGTGGCTTTAAAAGACCCTGGAGGGGAAAGGAACTATCCGAAATCAGGATATGAGGGCCATCTCTCAGTGGACCAGCTGATTCTGCAGGAAACTAAAACTTTTAAATATCAAAAAGCAGCATCCATTGTAAGTGATTTCATCAGCATTTGAAATACCTTAAAAACCTTTTGACTGTAATATCACTTTAAGTATGAGACAGCACATCAAAATTGGGGAACATACTTTTCTCTACTGCAGTTTAACTATACAGATAGGTCACCTTCCTACCCCTAGTCTGTGATTAGATAAATAAGAAGCAGCAGCAGTTTGACAAGCTCAGCAATGCTTATTCAGCTATCTCATCCTGTCACAAACCGAGATGGGGTCCCTGCTGCTTTATGTGACAGCTTTCCCTGCAAATGGAGTTTAAGGTGTACCTGCAGGTCACTCAATGGACATGAAGGAGGGTCGGTGCCGGGTATCCGAGACTTGGAGCGTGAGAGTGGCACAAGATACTGGGCAGCTGGAGACAGAAATGAGGCTGGAGGCTGCAAGTGCGGAGATGGCTCAGTGGAGGTCAGACAGTGGATGCAGGATTCAGGGGTCAGACTGTGGATGCAGCAGAGATTGCGGATGCAGAGATGGTGCAACTGGGGCCGTGGGGGCTTCGGAGACTTTGATTGCAGCTAAGGTGTAGGGGAGACTGCAACTTCAATGGAAGTGGAGCTAAGACAGTGGGTTAGAAAGAGAGGCGGCAGACCTGTGGGTGCTGTGGAAATTGAACTTGTGGGTGCAGTGGAGTCTCTGGCTGTGGCCGCAGCAGTGACTGGGCAGCAGATACTGCAGGGATCAGGCTGGGATGCGACAGAGACTTTGGCTGTGGATGTAGCAGAGACCAGGCTGGGGTGCAGTACAGACTATGGCTGTGGATGCAGTGATGACTGGTCTGCAGGTGCAGTGGTGACTAGGTTGCAGGTGCAGCAGAGACCAGACTGTGTGCTGTAGAGACTTTGACTGTAGGTGCAGTGATGACTGGGCTACAGGTGCAGTGGAGTGCAGGCTAAAGTGCAACAGAGACTTTGGCTGTGGGTGCATTAATAACTAGGCTGTGGGTACAGTAGAGACCAGACTGGGGTACAGCAGAGACTTTTGGTGGCAGATGCAATGGTGATTGGGCTTTAGGTGCAGTGGAGAATGGGCTGGGATGCAACAGAGACTAGGCTGCAGGTGCATTGCTAGGCAGTAAAACAGCTTTGGTAGCTCAGGGAGTGTATTGACACTATACTTGAGTATTTGCAGTGTGTCCTGCTCCAGTTTAAATAGAAGAAGCAGTCATGTAATGTCTCATGTGTAAAACCTGGCAGTGTCTACGGCAGCAGAACACAGAAGAAGTGCCAGCATTGGAATTCAGAAGGTAAGTAACCATGACACTACCTCCCCCTCTTACAGGGTTCTGTCACCTGATTTCAAAGAGAGAAGGCAATAGCATTGCCATACAAGGTGAGGAGCAAAAAAATCTGATGCCAAGGACTATGAGTGATCATCTATGCTGTAGCATTTCCAATCCAGCAGGTAATACAACTTGCCTCTGGAGATTTAATAGACCATGTATACCTATAAGGAAAAGCTCAAGGAGAAATAATTGGAGTAGGGTAAGAAAATCTACGGGAAAACCATCAATTTCAGAAGAGAGGTATTGGGTATACAGTGATGTAATGGAAGACATAACTTAAAAGATAACTATGAGGTAAGTGTTTTTCCCCATAGTTCTCTTAAGGGTCACGGGAGGAAATATACTAGCATCCTCCCATGACCCAAAGCTCAGTATATCGTGGGCTACAGCTCACGGTATACTGAGACCGCCGCAGCCAGGGTGGATCCCGACATTACTGTCGAGATCCACCAAGCTGCGTGAGTGACAGCGGGCTCTGCCTATCTAGAGGGAGAGCCAGCTGTACCCGCCCCTCCCCCGTCCGTTCCGCCAGTCAAAGCTGGAGGATCGGAGCGGGGAGGGGGGAATCCCTGTGGGGAGCCATGACTGACAGTCGCTGGTCTCTGCAGGGAGATGATCGAGAAGTGAGCGAGCGACAGTATGTGTTCGCTCACCTCCCGATCTATTGAGCCGACGTGTGACAGTTTAATTTCATCACTCACCTTATAGTTCTCCTTTAAATAAAATTAAAGTGTATCTAGCAGTTTGCGAATATCAACTTGTATATAGTTCATACTTATTCTCAACTTGTATCCGTTAGTGAATATTGACGTCAAGCCGCAGCTCATCCACCTACTCCTGGTTTATAAGATAACAATAATAGAACTCTTAACAGCCATGGTTTAAATTACACATAAAAACCCGTCAGATTCAGTGCTCACTGGAAGCATTTCTGAAGGTCTATAAACACTTACATAGTTAGTCAGGTTGAAAAAGGCACAAGTCCATCAAGTTCAACTGATGGAGAAAAGAAATAGAAAAAACTCCATAATCAGATCCCTATCCCCACAGTTACCCACAGCTGATCCAGAGGAAGGCATAAAACCCTATAAAGCATGGTTTAATTTGCTCCAATGGGGGAAGAAAATTCCTTCCTGATCCCATAGGCCACCGGATATTCCCTGGATCAACCATCTCTGGTGTTTATTTTACTTATAAAATGTTAATATCTAGTAATATTCTATGCATTTAGGAATGCATCCAGTTTTTTTGTTTTTTTCAGTCAGCGCTGGAGGATCAGAGCGGGGCAATCCCTGCAGGGAGCGGTGACTAACAGTCACCGCTCTCTCTGCAGGGAAATGATCGAGAAGTGAGCAAGCGATGGTATGTGTTCACTCACTTCCAGATCTATTGAGCCGATGCACGCCAGCTCGAACTATGAGGATAAGTGATTTTCACTCACCTCATAGTTCTCCTTTAAATGACACAGAATTGACCTTGGCTGAAATTTACAAAGAACCAATATACCATGGTATTATATAAGAACCAATTTAACGTGGATCAAACTTAGTAGATGGCATTTTGAGGCAAAGGTTTTTAGTGGAAAGCCAGACTTTATCTCCAGTCTGAAAGCTAGGTGCAATGGCAGTCAGCAGATCTTTTGTATCCAGAAGTAAATTCAAGTAGACACTGTTGTACCTGAGACTAAATTGAGTTCTGAGTTGAGGTCTGGATGATGGCTACAGCAGACATGTCATAAGCCCATGTAACCCAAGGTGGTTACCATATACGAAAAGAAAAGGTAATTACCAGGCGCTTGAATTAATAAGGTTATTATTGGTGAACTCAGCCCAGGGCTGGAGAGATAATGATTGATTCCAATGCTGCAGCAGATGGAAGAGTGAGAAGGGGAAAAAAGTGTGCTATTTTAGAGAACCTGTCCACCACAACTCCAATGACCGTGTAGCCGTTGGAGGATTGCATTTTCGTGATGATGCCAGCCCACAGAGAGGGGACTTCAATCTGTGCATAGCTGATACAGGCTGCCCTGATGCAGGGATGACTGATGGAGCTGGGACTGTGGGTGCTACAGAGGCTGTCAGTGCAGCTAAGGTGCAGTGGAGCTGTAGCAAACAATGTGGATAAGGCTGAGGGGCAGCAAAGGCTGCAGGTACCATAGAGCCTAAAGCTGTGGGTGCAACAGAGACTTTGGCAGCAGGTGCAGTGGTGACTGGGCTGTGGGTGCAACAGAGACCAGCCTGGGGTGCTGCAGGGACTTGGCTGCAGGTGCAGCAATGACTGCATTACAGGTGCAGAAGAGACAAGACTGGGATAGAGCAGAGACTTTTGGCTGTAGGTGCAGCAGTGACAGGGCTGTGGGTACCGCGGAGAACAGGCTGGGGTGCAGCAGAGATGCATTGCTAGGCAATAAAACAACTTTATTAGCTCAGGAAGTGTACTGACAGTATGCTTGAGCGGTGACAGTGTGTAGTCCCACTCAGGTTTAAATAGAAGAAACAGTCACATGATGCATCATGTGATATGTCACAGGCTGCAACACTCCGGGTAAAAACCCAGACATGCCAGTGGCAATGTGAGGGGGGGAGAGGAGGTGCCAGCGCTGGATCCCAGAATGTAAGTGTGACGACATGGTGATGAGTTTATAAGTTAAATGTGTATTGGGGTTGAGTTATGTTTGAGTGCGTTATGCTGTGTGACCTGGTTAGGGAAAGACTATCAGCACTAAGATCAGCAGTATGGAAGAGGAGGTGGTCGTCCTCCCTCCCCAGCAACAAATTTGGATACAGGAAGAGGAGGTGGTCGTCCTTCCTCCCCAGCAGCAGTTTGGAATCCAGGTAGAGGAGAAAGCCGTCCTCCTGCCCCAACAGCAAGCCAGAACTGAGGATGTGGTTTCCCCAGCAGAAGTAATGACACCCGGGCAGAGCACCACTGGCCTATGTCCCACACTGTTGCCTGTTCCAAACTTCATGGGAGAAAAGTTAACCGTGACATGTCACCAGGTTACTTGTTACCCCCAGTGCGTGCAGCATGTCTAATTGGTTCTTGTTGCTAACGCTCCATTTCCCAGTCTGCTGGGAGTTTGGGTACATGATTACAAGAGGAGAATACCAAATCACATTTTGGTTTCATTAAAAATGCGTTTAATAATTTTTTAATGAATACAAACTGCATTGATAACTCTTTAGATCTGCCTGGAGCTCAGCTTTAATCAAAACAATAAATAACAAGACAAATGTATAATTACATTTTCAAACTTTTACACATAGCTGCTTGGCACACATTATAAGAACATTAATTTGGTTGATGATAGACCATAAAAACATTGTACTGTATAATAGGTAAAATATATAATAATTCATGGAATGTAATTTTCATGAAAACATATTAAAAGAAAGTGAAAGGAAATACTAAATTAAAAGTGGGTGGAGCTCAAATCCAGAGTGGATTCTGCACTTCAAAGGGACCCTTTTGTTGCCCTTCTTGATAAGAAACCCTCGGGTTGTAACCTGAATCAATTCCTATTAGGTTATTTTCTAATATAACAATATATTTTATATTATTATATTTATTTTTGCTTGTATATTTTCCTGTATTGCTGTTGCATGATCTTGTACATGGTGATAGTCATCTCTACTGGCTTTGATGCATGCCAGTTTGGTGCAGCAAGTCTTATTTTTATTTTATTTTTCTTATTTAAATGTATGAAACACCACATGTATTCAGTGTTTGCCATGTTTGAACATTTGAAAAACTTAATAAAAATGTATTGAATGAAGAAAGTGAGTGGAGCTGTCAGTATAGTAAAAGCTGTTACAATATTAGTAGGTGCTGGAAAGCTATACAACTTGACAATGTTTTAGATCTCTATGCTGGTGAGATCTGTTGCGGTTCAGTTCCAAAGCAATTACGAGGAGTCCCAATCCCCCCTGTTGTGCTATTTATTTACTGTATATTATGGGAAATGCAACAGGATGTGCTTGAGCATGCAAATGTGGAAGAGAACACCGAAAAGTCACAGGTGTATTTGAACAGAGGCAGTAAGAGAGATCTCCCTGTTAGAGAATCCTAGACATTTAAGAAGCCTTTGGCTAACTCAGCCCACCATCTCTTTCTTCTTTAGCTAAAATATCGCTTTTAGGCAAATTGACCCTTTAAGGTATAGTAATAATTAATTTTTGTATTTACCATACCAATCATTAACTTTTGATACGCAACATATGTATATTTACATTTTTATACCACTATTTTTTGTGTTTGTGAACTTTATCTTTGGCCAAAATTACCTTAGTCATTTGAGGCTGCTTAAGAAGGGTTTGATAAAGGTAACAGTTCATTAAGGAAGAGAAGAGTAGAAGTGTTTTACAATACTCACTTTTATTATCTAGTTGTGCTCTGTATTTATTAAATCCCTTTAAACGTACACGTTGTCCCAAGAGATCGAGAAACTCATCAAAAGGCGCCCCTGCAGTTTCATTATTGTACATCTCCTCTTCTGTATTCTGTCCTGCTTTGCAGTACAGAATGCCAACTTTGTGTTGAAAGCTCAGCTAAAAATAGAAGAATTACTTTTCAGGTTCAGGCAAATATTTTATTTTACACTCAAAACAAATTTCTACTAGTTACAATTTTATAAATAACTAAAAAATATATATATAAGTATATGTTCTTGCAAAAAATATGAAACAGAGTAAGGTAAGCTTAAGTAAAATAAATTGAAGTGATCCTTTGCTTTGTTCACTCTTTATTTGTCCTAGTGACCATTGTCACCAAGACTGAAAGTGATAAGAAATCCAAACTTTTACGGCTGTCACTGAACAGGAGGCAAGGGGAAATCTTCTGATGACAACTGTTTAAGAGAGGATTTCCCCTCACTTTAGAGAAATGTTCTCACTTCCTGTTTAGTTTGTATGACAGGACGTAAAGGGAAATCTCTCCAATAGGATATATACAGAAAAAAACAAATAAACATGGCAAGGGATTTAACCCTGCTCCAAAACTAAAGAAGAGTTTTTGGCTATATGTAAATTTTAAGATTATGTTTGTTAGGAGTGGATTTCCCAATTGGCATTGTAAGTCCATGTCTACAGGCACTACTGCTAGGAGGAGTTTGTTTCCTATATACCTAAACATCTTTCAAATCAATCATACCCTGAAAGTGATTTAAAATGTATGGTTCTGGAAGATGTTGCCAAATCAAAAATAATGGATGGCCATTTTTTCACACCGAAGAAGAGTGAACTGTTGTAGGTTGATGACTAGATACCCTGCAACCAGCAGGTGTAAAAGAGATTACGATCCATACAGTATTTATTTGTATGGCTGACATTTGCCTAACTGGATAACAATAGATTCTTCTGCAAATGTGTTCTAAAGCAATTTGATTTTTTGCAACCGTCTCTTAGTTTGTCTCTCTATCAATTTAGCATATGGAATTTCGATCAGATACATTTTTGTTATGTCTTGATTGTTTTTTTCTGGTGTATTGCAGACTTCTTGTCTCTGGGCCTTGACATGTTTCTGGCTTCTATATTGAAATATATATTTTGTGTTTATGTATACATTAACAGTGGGCTTGAGAGAGAGGGTGTATTTGGCCCATATCCATTCCCTGAAACATTTACAGTAAAGTGGAAAAAAAAAATACCTTATGAAAAATGAAAATGTTCTTTTTCTATGACCAATGAAAAATGAAGCCTGCCACAGCAACAACAATAGATTGTAACCAGTGAGGCATATCTTTTTTTTTTTTTTTTACCTTTTCTCACTCTTGTTGCAAGCCAGCACCTTTTTGCAGTCAATCCTGTCTACATGCATACACTCGAGCAATTGTTGTATGGCATTTTTCAGGTTAGGGTGTACGTTTAATAAACTGTGATAAAACTAGCTTTATCACGAGTTAACTTTACTCAGCAGATCTCTTTGTTTTTCTTTGGTGGGTTAGGACATTTAAAAACGCCCACTCGCATTCCGTCCGCTGTCCGGCCGTTTAGCCCCCGTTCACATAGAGCGATTTATCCCGCGATATCGCGGCTATTTACTGCGCAATATCGCTCTCCAATGCATGGCAATGGGGCAAAGGGTCCTGATGTCACGGGTCGTGCGTCACTACAGCAGGACCCTTTTTGGAGCGGATTTTGCCGCGATTCCAGCTTGCTCAATGCAAGCATTTGCGCGATATCGCGCAAAATGCAAATTGCCCGACAAACGCGCGATTTGCGAATCGCTTGGTGTGAATGCGGCCTTAATTACAACAGCCTGACAGCAGGTGGTTAATTATTTAATTCATAAATATTCTTTGTTGATTATGAAATATAGTTCTATTTTTTTAAATGTATTATTATTTCAATATTGAAATAATTAATATTTCATTAAATATTATTTATGTAATTATTTTTTCACAGTTTATTAAACGTACACCTAAGTTTCTTAATGGTGACAACAGTGGACCATGCTTGCACAATGTGTGTTCAAATGGACACGTGTAGTCACCTTTGGAAGACCATGTGAAGCACAATTGAGAGACAGGGATTAAGGGCTGTCACTCTATAACAGCAAATGTCTGAACAATGAAGCCCACAAGAAGGGCATAAGAAACTTGTGATACTGAGGAGTCCAGAACATTGAACAGATTGTCCTTCCTCCAGGTAAACTTGTGAGGATATGACACAGCACTGCTACTTCTAACTACCAGGTGGCAATTTCCATAAATAGATAGATGGCTGCTGCGACTGTGAACAGTGACTACCTTTGGCAAAGGCCTATTGCACATAAAACATGTAAGGAATTGCACTGATGGCATCTTAGTGACCCTGTTCAATCTAACCATCACTAGTAATCTTGTCACTTGTGGGACTTCTCTATGTAGCTTTATATAACTGAAACGTGCTGTGTAATTGACCCCATGCTCAGATGCTGTACACGTTTTATGTCTGCGAATGGGACTTTGTAGACTTTTATAAGTTTGAACTGCTACACTGCAAGTGCATACTGGTGGAGTTGTTATGTGCAAGGTGTAACCACTTGTTTATAAAAATTAACTAACGACACTGTGATTGCAAATTTGGTACCTTCCTGCAACAAGCAATATGAGACTAAAGGTGCCCATACACCTTACGACCATCGCAAGACTTTTGTCTTGCGATGGTCGTATGCAGGGCCGGCCTTAGGGGTGTGCGAGCAGTGCGGCTGCACAGGGTGCCATGGCAACAAGGGCGCCGGGCGGCCGACACAGCTCATCTTCGGGGCGTCGCCCGATTCTCGTACGAGAATCGAGCAGTGTATGGGCACCTTAAGGATTGTGTAAACAATGTACAAATTCAACACTTTTAATATTTGGAGCTGTATAAGCATTGGTATACTTAATGGAATTTGTACTGATGAACTAAGTTTGAGCACATAGCTGGCTAAGTTGGAGTAAAATGCTAGTGGGATATATTTGTAGGCTAGGGCTACCTATAATAGTATAGTATAATCTGATGCCCTATGTTTTTTTTTTTTATTATTTGAACAAAGCCGGATTTGTTGTAAAATAGACCCTTTGGAGCTCTCACATTTTGAGAATCATGTCATTTTAATCATTAGGAAATAAGCACTAATGCTGACATATTCAGTTATTGTCTTACAGGAAACTATATCATGTGAACATAGTGTAATTATGCATTATTATTTTGCCACTGACAATGTATTATCCCTATCTCCCATACATTCTATTATTCATCTTGTGCTAAGCGATATTAAAAACTAATGTAGTGCAGATAACCACTGCTGCTATATTCAAATTGCTGGCCAATTAGGCTGAACTCAGTACTAAATAATCTCTGCCTAGGGCCAGAAATTTAGCAGTTTCACACTAAATAATATATGAAAGAGTGTTTGATGATGTTGTTAAGAAGTTGCAAGAGTAAATGAGGATTGCCTACGCTTTAATAAGATGAAAGGCATACTGTTCAAAATATCTTAGGGATTATTCCTGTTGCATATAGATGTACATTTAACTCTATCATAACCAGATCTGACTAGAAGATTAATGATAGAACACCTTTTTGAACTGATTTCTTAGAATTTTGTTTACTGTTTTTGAAAAAAAAAATTACATCTGGACCATGTTCATATCATATATGAAGAAGACACTTTGTGATGTTCTGACTTTTACTAGACAGGATACATTTACCGAAAACAATTACTTCTTTATGAACAGTTGCTCATGCTGCAAATAGTAAGATAATATGAATAGTTTTCTCTATAAACTCAATAGACTGCTGCCTGCAAGTGTTACTCTGTTGCTGCTTGGGATAGATGGTGAGCAATGATAAATGCAAAAAATAAGCAGACAGATAATCATTGCAGAACACTGTAAAACGTTTTAAGTAATGCCATGCTTGGATTAATTCACTGAGCACCCCTACACTGGACTGCCTGATTATCTATATTGATACTTAAAGTTCATCTCCAGGCTTGTCTTCCACCCTCCCCCCAGTCTCCATCTGCCCTACTCTATCATTATATAGCATGCTCCAGCACTGTGTAAATTGTAGACAAACGGCCCATGATGTCAACGGCAAGGACCCAAAGGACCATGCTAAGCAGTCATCAAGAGGAGGATCCAGCAGGCAGGTGGGCAGAGCAGGGTGGGGAGATATGCTGCCTTTGAAAATACTACATTCCCACTGACTTAATTGCATCAGTGTTGCCTGAACTGGAACTAAAGCAAGGCGTTGAGGAGATTGATCACTCAGTACACAGAGACCTGGAAGGGGTGACTGGTCTCCTGAACAGGAAGTGCTGCAAATCCCAGTGTGTGCAGCAGCTTTTAAAGGAACACTTGGAGGAGCACAGCTTAAAAATTAAAGGTCACAGGATACAAAGATCTTGCTGATAATTACTATTTGGCTGTCATACCAAAACAAATAAATGAATGTAACCAAGACATACCCCTTGTTCATCTAGTTTGAGTAGTTGCTCTGGGACCTTTGGAGAGTTCAGAGCTTGTCGAAGGCACTGCACATTAAGCTCCGGTATGACATATTCAAGCACTTCTTTGTGAGGAAGGCCACGTGCTAAACCATGCCTTGCTGTTGATGGCACTGAATCTTCTAAAACTGTCCCCCGGAGAGTTGTAAGCTGCAAAGATGATGGGGCGTGTAAAAGCAGAAATATTAGTACTGGTGAAGCACAAAACCCTTTTATAAATACCATAGCTATCAGACAGTACTGATTGGGAAACAAGGTCTACTACAACGGTTAGCTTAAACATGGTGGGTATTCATCCTTGAATCATTTTAGGAAGTTTAGCAATGCCTTTAGAGATATAGCAAATAATTATATTTAGTAATAGTCTTAATATAGGTAATGAAACACCATTGCTCCTTAGTAACATGAGCAAACCCTATGAAGATATGGTTTGCTCATGTTACTAAGGAGCAATTGTGTTACAAGCAACTGTTTATACACTTCTAGTTCTTCATCAGCAGAACACATTATAAAAGCATATATCAGTTACCAGGTGTATCTCAATGCTAAACCTTTGCTAAATGCTAATGCTAAACAGAGAAATGTTAAACATTTTTATCCCTCAAAAACTTAGTCAACAGTTTTCACAGGTGTCCCCACTGGCAGATTTTTCTTTATCTCCTATCAGGTGACAAACATTACATTTTGGCTTTCCAATTACTTTTTGACCCAGCAACAATGGGCATCAGGACAATTCAAACTCTTCCATGCTCCATCAATAACTAAAAAAAGGTTTGCTTTAGATACACAATAACCTTGCCACCAGCTTCCACTGGTCCTTCAAGGGGTTGAAGGAGGAGGCGAAGGCGGGCTTCTGGATCATGTGAGCATTGTCATTGGCTGTCACAGTCATCACGTGATTAAGTACGCGTTCCTGGCTCCCCATCATAAACAGTGACCGGGGGTGAGCATTGTCATTGGCTGTCACAGTCATCACGTGATTAAGTACGCGTTCCTGGCTCCCCATCATAAACAGTGACCGGGAACAGTTGTTGAAAGTGCAGTCACTGTGCTGGGGATGCAAAGTAAACACACTTCAAGCACAATACAGAAGAGCCAGCTTATAGCCCACCAATGTGCATATGGCTGCATGATAGTTGTTCAGACTAAGAACAATAGCCATTGATGCATCTCAACCAAGGGTGACATTATGAACACACACACACACACTATATATTATATATATATATATATTTATTGAGTGAAATTCGTGTGGCATTTCTATCCCTCAAAAACATAGTCATTTAGGGTGAAATCTAAAAAGTTTTCAAAGATAAATTTTAATGACATTAAAAACAGTATATACAAACCAAAAAATTACATTACAAATTACCAAAATTACAAACACGCAAGCTTTCAACATAAAACTTATAACGAACACTGACATTTCATTGAACTAGAGTGGCAATAGGTCTTTAGTGCATTAAAGTACAACTCCATTGAGAAAAGTACTAGGTCTCCTCTGAATGCCCACTATAAATAGCTGAGCGACTCTTGAGTTTTACCATCCAGGGTAGTCACTCAGCATAGCAACTGTATCAGGACCCAGAAGATGCTTTAGTAGTGCAAACTCCATGTACTGAAAATACAGTGGAAAGGCAGATGATGACTGTCTCCGTACAGGATGGGAGGTGTGAAACCCCCCTGCTCTAGTTACATAATCCTTACACATCCTACACAATAATCGCAAAAGTGCACTGCGGGGGAACATACAATTAGAAATAAGTTGGAAGCAACAAATTCCACAACCGGCAACCATATTGAACTGACCATATGCGGTCTAACTGATCTGCAGCTTAATTCAGGTTAACCTCAGGTTACCTACTTGGTTTCTGGAGGAGATTATTATACTCACTTAAGTTTTCAAGCCTCAACCCACCCTGAAGACTTGAAATAACTTCACTCCACTCAAATCAAATTTTCTCAGACATGATACATTTTTATATCCTTTGTATAAACAATAAACTTTTACTTTCTGCTTATAACTAATGATACATAGTGTAAAAACCTTCTCTTTATATGTCAGAAAAAAATGGAAGCAACCAGCAAATCAAGATGCAATCTAGCCAAAATTATTTTCATTTAGTTACCGTAGTACACCGATACAGTTCCCAGTTTACAACTTCTGACCTGACAGTGTCTTCATTATAGCCATAAATAACACCCTGTCAGGTCAAACCATTTAATCTTGGAACCTATATGAGTGACCTAATAAAATGAGAAGATTTTCAGATATGTAGCTTGCCAATGTGTTGGTTACTCTCACATATTATTGTTTTACATTTTACATTAATTTGAATTAAACTGCCATTTTAATATTTGATTATTAATACAGAGAAAGTGTTTTTTTTTTAATTTTAGCCACTCCCTCTTTTACACCTTATAATAATGGGGAAATATTTTAATTGTTATTTAGGTTAAGGTTTATATATAATAAAATGTATAAAACTGCATAAGGGAGGCACTGAAGCAATTAACTCTCTAAAACACAAATGTGAAATCTATGCAATATTTTCCTAATTATTAAAGAGTGGCATCATCCGGAATGTTGTGTTGTCATAGCTGTAAATAATCTGGAAAATAAAGATGCCTTTATGAGTCAGCAAGGTCTCTTCTGTAACCCTCTCTGATTTAGTTTCACTTTGTTGCTGAGGCATGGCTTGATGTTTGAGCTCAAGTCACTACTAGCCACTGAATCAATCTAAATGGACACTGGAAAGGCAGCTGGCAAGATCTTAATCCATTGACAGCAAGGGGGCATTTGAGGGAATCAAAGGAAGTTCTAACAAACTTTCAGTCCTAGGGTGGCAACAGTGCTCCTCCATACATCAGACATCTCAACTCTCCCGGACGTTCCAGGAGTCTCCCGCTATAGTATAGCGGCTCCCGGATGCCTGGGAGATAAACATTTTGTCCCGGAAAGGTTTACTCTGCTCTATCTAGCAGCATAAAACCTTTCCCTGCTGTCTTTGTTTTGTTTTGTTCTTTTTTTACAGCGGAGCCGCCGGCCGCCGTCAGTCATTAAAAAAACCAGCATAAGAATGAATTGCTAGATTTCTATTGGCTATTTCAATTTGCAATAGCCAATAGCAGACTGGCTATTGCACCCGCCCACTGCTGCTGTCAATCAGCAGAGGTGGACCTGAAGTTCTCCATCAAGTCCTCCTCTGCTAATTGACAGCAGCAGAGGGCGGGTGCTATAGCCAGCTTGTTATTGGCAGCTGCAAATTGAAATAGCCAATAGCAATTTACCTATTCTTTCCTATGCTGTGGTTTTTTTTGTTCTTTTTTTTTTATTCTGACTGCAGCAGGTGTCAGAATACTAAAAAAAAAAAAAAACAGCAGATAGCAAGGGAAGCATTAGCTACTTTGCTATCTGCCATCATTTCAGGAGGGTGCTCTCTCCCTCCTGTATGTAAGCATTATCTCCCCAGAACAGATAGAGTTTTACTGGCAGGATCAACAGTTCAAAATAAAGGGGGTGAAAATGAAAAAAGAACACAAATGCAGCCACCACATCTAAGGATGGATAAGCTGCAATATATTACATTTTTTCTCTTGGGTTTAGATAAGCTTTAAGCAAGACATTGCACAGGTTTCTATGGATGGATTTTGGAACAAATATAATAGCAACTTAAAGACTGCAGCAAAATATGGTCAGTATTATATTCAGTACCTTCAGATATATCAGTACATATGTACGGCATATATCTGAAGGTACATAGAACCCCCTGATTTAAAAATGTTGTATGCTGATTCAATAAGTGTATTTGTTGAGCATTTAGTAACAGTTTGCCAGTGATCAGTCCAGCCTTCCAACAATTTCTGTGTGGATAATCAGTTTCCCAATTAATTACACAGAGTGTAATATATGAAAGGAAATGTATAAAGCAAGAGGCAAGTTTTGATGAGTCTTAGAAAGGTCTTTGTCCTTGATTAGAGATGCTATACCGTGTGAATTTGCAATTAACTAAACTGTTCATTTTAAAAAGTGTTACTTTGCTCTCTGATTTTTTTACTAAGTATAGAACAGTTATGTGCTTTAGAGCAGCTATAAGAGGTCCCTCAAGAGAATGCTGTAGAGCAAATGTGCCAAGGTATGAATAGCAAACTTTGAGGCGAACCCCATTGAAGTCCAAAGAGGGATTCTTGTCATTAAATTTTGCTAGGTAACAAAGTTCTAGCTAGACCCTCCCTGTTTCCTCAGTCTAATTTCAGCTTCCAAGCAGACACTGGGCTTAGAAAGTCATTGTCGTTTTATACTTTGAAAGACTGGAAAAACATACTCTGTAATGTACTTATGAAGTAGTCTTATTGTAGAGTGAATCTATCTGTATATTGTGGTCAACCAGCAACTGGCCAAGCTGTCCGTACAGGTCAAAATCAGTGGAGGTATGTCAGTGCATAATGCAGAAGTTGAGATAGAACATACTGGGTTTTTTTTTCCTTAAAATTATTGGCTCTTGTGACTCAGCTGACTGGGTCACAAGCTATGTAGTGCATTATAAGTTGTTCCTTTTTTGGAATTTGGCGATGAACCTGTGAAGTTTAATGATTCACGAAGCTCACGAATCCTGGGGTTACCCTGCAAACCCTAGTTAGTGGCAAACCCAAATCTCATCCTTAGTATTTACCAAATTCTTATATGGACAGACTATGCATTGTAAAGTGGAAAGTCTGAATTTGGAGGTAACCCAAGGTAACATTTTTACAAAAGATGGAAATTAAACTAATTCAAGCAGACTTACAAGATATTATAATAGGTAATATTTCACTGGGTTAGGTACGAAAAATCGCCCTTCAACTTTTTCATCTATACTTTTGTTTAACGGTATAGGTAACTAATGTTTATTTCCTATACTGTATAACATATTACAGATATTAGCACAGATAACTATTTACATCAGTTCTTGTGCCAACAAGAGGCTTCCAGTTGTCAGGGATTCTGATACAAATATGCACCCATGCAAACCACTTTCATCCCACACCAATTAATTTACCAGTATCTGGGTTTTTGAAGGAAACTCACAAAAAAACATTTACCTCTGTTACCTTTGCATTGTCTGTAAGGGATACATTGTTTTAAATATGATTTATATGTGGAAAAATGT